TTCATTTTGGTAAATGAGGTCTATTTAGGCGCAAATTAGTTTTTAACAGGTCTCTTTCATATGAACAGTTCCATTTGTTAATTACTGGAAATAAAAACTTGACTGTGCAGGTTAAAGGCTCATTATCAAATCAGTTGAGGGATTTTCTTAACTAATAGTCTTTGTGTTATCATCATTGTAATTAACAGAAGAACCTGAAGTGGGATTTGTCATTATTCTTAGGTGTAAACTGAAGGTTTTTGTTTTTCTAAAATGTGACTACATGGAGCATCTAGTTCAGCTGATCTACACAGGAAATGCAGTGGTACAGTTAGATGCACTCCTCATCTTCTTTGATCGCCTAAACCTGACAGATGCGATTCATCTATCCCTGCTTACAGCCGCGCATTAACATCCCCTCTCCTTCCTAACACAGTTATGCACAATTAACACAGTAGCTCTTTTACAAAGTGTGTGTGTGTGCTTGTGTGTCAGAGCTCCAGTTTGCTGCAGCCAAGTAACAAGCGCAACCCAAAATGGAGAGAGTCGTGAATACCAATGCGTTGTACCTCCCGTCCCTCGCAAAAAGTGATAGTGATCTCTGTGTGTTCCTCTTACTTCTGTTTCTGCTTGATGTCATGTTTTTCCTTTTTTTAATTCACTTGTAGAAATACATTAGCACAAAGCAGGAGATAACTCAAATGCATGATTTGCAGCAGAGTATATATAAAATTAAAATGGAAAATGGAGACGAGATCAGATACAGTGGTGCTATTCTGGAAAACTCTAATTTCCAAGTCAGATCTGTTGGTTCAGCGGGTTTTTTTCCCTGTCTTTAACTTTTCTGTTTCTGATTGTCTTGAGTGGATGAAAAACTGCATGCATTTAAAGGGTTAACAACAACATATTTTTTCATAGGCCTTGCCTAGGCTTGTTGAATGAATCAGTGGTTTAATTTATAAATTTTTTTACATTTAAGCTTCATAAAATGTCTTTGCCCAACAGTCCATCCATCCTTTTCCACTCATCCGGGGTCGGGTCACGAGGGTAGCAGTCTAAGCAGAGAGGCCCCTTATAGTTCCCGGCCATGTCTTCAGCTCCCCACGAGGATGGGTTAAGTGCAGTGGACAAATTTCACCACACATCCGTGTGTGTGTGTGACAACGGATGGAACTTTAATCTAACCCTTCCCTATCTTCAGCCACTTGGACCAACTCCTCCAGGTGAATCCCAAGGAGTTCCCTGGTCAGATGAGAAACATAGCCCCTCCAGCGTGTCCTCTTGGGTCTTCCTTTAGGTCTTCTCCCAGCTGGATGTGTCCGGAAGACCTCAACAGGGAGGCGTCCAGGAGGCAACCTAACAAGCCACCTCAACTGGCTCCTCTCGATGGAGCAGGGAGTCAACTCCGAGCCCCTCCCAGATGACTGAGCTTCTCACCCTATCTCTAAGAGAGAGCCAAGACACCCTGTGGAGAAAACTCATTTTAGCCACTTGTATCCATGATCTTGTTTTTTTGGTCACTACCCAAAGCTCGAGACCAAAGGTGAGCATTGGAACGTGGATCGACCGATAAATCGAGAGCTTCTCCTTTCGGCTCAAGATCAGTACAACTCCCACATCATCAAAATCCACGCCACAGTCATGTCTGCCCAACTGATTTTTAGTTTTCCATTTAAGATCTGGATCTGCAGCTTAAACATCAAGTGCCATTTCACATTCCTAAAAGCTATAAGAACACATGGCAAGAAAACAGATACATGGGTATTTAGCTTAGCATAAACAATGTAAGCAAATACTAGCAACTAGGACGTCGTGTGAAAAAGTTATGCACATTTTTCTTGCTGGAGCTGAATTAGATTTCTGACTACTTTATGACAAAGCACTGCTGTGGCCAGCTCTAGCTTGTTTTCTTAAAGTGACACTCTGGAAGGTATTGGAACAGTCAAGAATACAACTGCTTATGTGAGAGGCAGTTTGTGCCAAAAAAACAAACAAACATATTTAGTATGGACCATGACACTTATAAATGAAGAAAAAATCATAGTACGTTTACTCATTGAAGTCATTGAAATTTCATTGCACGCCATACCTGTTTTTTTAATAAAAAAAACTTTCGTATTATCAAGTCAGTGTCATCTGCATGACCCTATCATTGGTTTTCATTAATATACAGTCCAACACAGCAAAACAATATACTGTTTCCCACAAAACCGTCAACACGTTTGGACATTTACTCAGCTAGCCGTGTAATAATTCTGATCCTCGTGCTGTGACACTTCTGCTGATTCTATATCAATAACCTTAATGTTTGCTGCGCTGCACCTTTAAATAGAATGGGAAGTCAATGTGAAGGTCATCATTTTTGGCCAGCATGGCTCTATATTCCCCAGAATAAAGAGGAGAGGAGCTGCACCGGCAGACCCTAATCCTCTTTAATTTGTTTTCAGATGAGGATTTGGAATACCAGCCTGCTCCCTAAGCAGAGATCACATAAGAACGTGGGCTGGGACATCTGTCTACTTTTCCGGCAGTTTTTAATACAGGTTTGTTGATCACTATACCCCACCCCCCAACGAGTAAATCTGATGCTGAGCTAAGTAGTTGTTTTTTTAATTGTTTTTTTTAAATCTTTTTTGTACGAAGACCAAAAGAGCAAATGTGATTCTTTAGTGAAAATAAAAAGCTGGCTGTTCTGACATAAATAAAATAAATAAAATAAATAAATAAATAAATAAATAAATTAAATAAATATCCATCCATCTTCTTCCACTTATCTGGAGTCGAGTCAGGGGGGCAGCAGCCTAAGCAGAGAGGCCCACATTTCTCTCTCCAGCCACTTGGGCCAGCTCTTCCGGGGGAATCCCAAGTCGCTCCCTCGCCAGGCGAGAGACATTGGCTTTGTCCAAATTCAGGGGTTGCATGCTCATGAGTACCCATCCTCATTGGTCTCAGGAGAACGTGTTCGTCCGGGACAGGTTACACCAAATGAACAGCTGTGAATTTGAACAGTCTAGCCTTAAATAGTCCTGCCTCTACTCTACTTCGGTGGATGTCCTCCTGTCACTAAGAAGAAGCTGCAGAAATGGAGCACACACGTTTTAAACTTTTTCCTTGTTTTGTTAATGTTTGAAGAGCTACAGCAGACGCACTGCCTGTGTTCTGAGAAATTCTGTTCCCCTCAAATATTATGTTTCCTCTAATAACTGAGGGAAATAAAGAACAAATATTTCCAAATTCACATAACTTAATGTCCATTATAAACAATCTCAAATAAAAGATGGTTAAACTAAGTGAGATTACATCCATTTCTTTGTTTCAGTGCTGTGATGTCACTGGTCTTAAAATCCGACCTCATGAGCATGTAACCCCTAAATTTGGACACACCCATTGAGTGTGTCTCAATGCCAAGGAATCTCACCTTGATGTCTTGGTTCCGCCCCGGATGCCTAGGAGATATGTCATCAGGAACCGCCAAGGCATGTTCAAATGTTCATGTTCTACCGAGGTGTATGTTCTCTGTTTGTAGCTGTTTAGCTAGCTGAGCAAGGATACACGAGAGGTGCCTTGTAGCCTGCCCATGGTCAAAGATTTCCCAGAATGCAGTGCAGTATTTTCAAAAGGATGGGGCTTCAGAAGCCAGCAGCTACTTCGGAGGCAAATTTCAAGTTTAAATGTAAGTCAACTAATTGTAGCTATCAGGCTGATATCAAAATATATCCAAAGAAGTTATCTATGGTTGGTTAGTTGCTTAGTAGTTGCAGCTTCGGTGGCTAGCAGGTAGTAACTCACTTCCATATTTAATTTAACCAGTATATACACAATTTAAAAAGTAGAAGGCTCGTTATACATTTATATCAAAACTTATACATCTAACATTACCTTTTGCGTCACATGAAGCTATGTGCTGCAGAAGCCACTGTCATGTGATGCAAGTATGTTCCATTTAACCAATTTCTTTGGCCAAGGAAGGACAGTGTCCTTGTCAGCAAGGCAATGCCTTGCAAGGCCAGGCACCTTGACATTGAGTAACACCCATAGTCCCTCCAGCATGTCCTGGGTCTTCCTTTAGGTCTCCTCCCGGTTGGACGTGCCCGGAAAACCTCACCAGGGAGGTATCCAGGAGGCATCCCAACTGCATGCCTGACCCACTACAACTGGCTACTCTTGATGTGGAGGACCAGAGGATCTACTCTGAGCCCCTCCTGGATGACCAATATTCTCACCCTATCTCTAAAGGAGGCCCAGACACCTTGCACAGAAAACTAATTTTGGCCACTTGTATCCACAATCTCATTCTTTCAGTCATTACCCAAAGGTTGACCAAAGGTGAGGGTAGGAACATAGATTGACTGGTAAATCAAGAGCATTGTCTTCCAGCTCAGCTCTCTCTACACCATGACAGACTGGTACAATGCCCACTTCACTGCAGATGCAGCATCAATCCACCTATGGGTCTTGCACTCCTCACTCGTGAACAAGACCCCAAGATATTGTAACTCCTCCAGTTGAGGCAGGACCTCATCCATGACCTGGAGAAGGCATTCTACCGTTTCCGTCCAGGGTTTCCCCAGAAAATGAGTTAAGCCTGACGGATTCGGCCATCGGCGTGTGTGTGTGTGTGTGTGGTGGTGGTGGTGGTGGTGGTGGTGGTGGGGGGGGGGGGGGGGGGTTCGTGCACTCCATCCCCGCAGCGCTCATCCGTGAGAGTGGGGTGGGGATGGTTGCACACATTCCGCTGCTGTTTCTCACCAGTATCAGCTGATGGAGGTTTCTAGTTTTGTTGCACTGTTCATGTCAGCAGACACGGTAGAGTCGGGAGGGGGGCGGGGCATGACACCTAGCCTGGCGGGTGGCCACGCAACCAACATCATAGTCTCAGATTTAGAAGAGCTGATTCTAAATAAATAAATAAATACAAATAAATGAAACCCATAAGGATGGAGTTGAGAGCATCGTCCTCCTCCTCCTTATCCCGCTACAGTAAACAAAGCTTGTAATCATGTTTGGCTGTGTCCTATTTCACCTTTGTTTCAGCAGATAAGGTTTAACTGTGGAAACACAAGAGATAAAAAGAGAAATAAAAGCTTTGCTTGCCATAATACACCTAACTAATTAACCTAAAAGTGTTTAGTCAGTGAGTACAGCTTCAACAACTAACTGTGCACGTTTAAACAGTGCTGATGAGATAAAACCTCAATGCAGCTAAAGTGATAAAATACATCTTGAGAGACAGAAGGGGTTTAAAAGCTACTCAAACTATGCCGGCTATAGGTTGGTGGTGCATGCAGTGAGCTGGCAGTCCTTTAATCCTTGCCATAGCCTTGACAAATCGGCCTGCGAGTTTCATTTTTATCCCCCTTTCCAGTATTTTGAGCTCTAGAGTGATGAACAAACCCTGGTTCGCCTTTCAGGCCTTTGATGCAATATCCAGCCTTGGATTACAGCCTTGCACAGACCAGATTGGTACTGGCGCACTGGGTTAACAGGTGGATGGTCTCAGAGCATTCAGCTTTGAGGCAGACAGACATACTTCAGATTAAGGGGATGAAGAATGTATAAAAAGCTTTACCAACCTTTATATTTATAGAAACAGGGACATGAAGTAAAACTTGACTTGAAGAAAAGAGAGCTATTACATAAGCCTAAAACCTGTGAGGGAATGTGTTGCTGTGGAACGTCTGAATTTTTGTTTATCTGTGCAAAGTTTTTAATATTCACATTAAAGGGGCATTGTGTTACCTCTATTGCACTCATTTCATTTCTCTTTCACTGAAGTTTGCGAACATCTTTAACAGAAATTTTGAATCTCAAACCAATTATAGAGGTCAGTCTTTCTCCAATTGGTGTGGTTTGATCATATTGAGACATACCAGGTTTGAAAATATTATGTGTAACAGAATTCCTGCCTCAAGGGAAGTTGGCAGAATAACTCAACTTCTTGCCTTTTCTTCCTCAGCATTGTCTAATCTCTAAATGTTTAAATGAAATGAAAATAAATGCAACAGTGACATAGTTGGTAGCCCTGGTTCCTTTCAGCAAGAAGGTGTTGGATTAAAATCTCAAACTGGGGTCTTTCTACATGGAGTTTGCACGTTCCACCTGTGCATGTGTGATGTCCTACCACAGTCCAAAACTATGACTGTTGGGGTAATTGCTCTCTCTCAGACTTAGAGTCCAAGACCATGTATACCAGGGTTTTTCCTGTATTCAAATTTGAGTGGCGGCCGCCTCCAGCTAATTTTGTGCCGCCCCAGCCTGATTTCACTCTGCCCCCAGCTATATGGATGTTATTTTAACTGCAGTTGCAGCGTTGCGCCACTACAGGAGCGCTGTATCAGCAGCAGGGCACCGAAAAGCACTAAAACCGGTGCAGAAAAAGATCAAATATTGCTTTTCTCTCTAGTTGGTACACATCTATCGTTGGTGCTATGGATGTCCTGACTTTCCCCAGGCTCTTCCATTGCAGAGCAGGGCTGTACAGTGCGACGAAAAAACAGTCTGTGTGCGTTCGTCTATTTTTACACGTAGCACTAGTGCAACATCTTTGATTACTATCTTGCCCAGAACTTTATTGAACAAAAGTTACGTAAGAAAAATGCTTTTTACTGGCACACAGCGTGGTAATCTGGATGCAGTGAAGGGAAATAAAGGAATCAGCAAAGGCACAAAGGCAGAACCAGTCCAAAGTTTGGGATCAAAAGTGCAGCTACACGCAGATTGGCTAATGCTAAAGCTAATGGGTAGCAGTCTCATGATCAAGTGGTGCACAGAAAAATACATGATGATCGTAAAACTAAGGAAGACTAAACTCTACAAGCGGATGAAAAGTCCCCACCATCCAGTTATTCTGCATCCTGCAGCGCTATGGATCAGAACCGCTGCACACAGGAGCAGGAAGTACGGCAAACTATTGTAGTATATAATTCACAAACGCTTCTATCTTTGAACAGAATTTAAACTGGATTATTGCCAACCCGTACATTATAGACATGCCACCATTGCATTGTTGGCAGCAGAAATTAAATGTTATCACCATTTCCAATATAAATGCATGTTAATGAAATGCATTATATTTTACTGGATATTTTTATGTATTCTTTTGACTAAGATGAGTGTTATTAATACAAACCTAAAAAAAAAAAAAAACTAAAACTATAAATATCAGATGGGAAAAAGGGAGTGTCAGGGACTTGCATAAACCAGCCAGGAGAGCACGGATGATTTTCTTGACGTCTTAATTTATTACTTCTTTTCTTTTCTCCAAAGAGGGTTCCAACCAGCACTTGACATTGCATAACAATGGACGTAGTAACAAAGGAACCCAAACTCAGGACCTGACTACAAACATGTACAGAAAAGACCTCTACAAACACAACAGGATCAACTTAAATAGTGGCTGATCAGACCACTGCCAACACACTAGGGTGGGGAGACATCAATAAACAAAGCACATAAATAAACTACCCCTAACAAATTCATACAAATCAGTCCATTATGTCTGAGTTACTTAAAATGAATACATATTACTATCAAAATCCAACTACTATTTACAAAAGAGAATAACTAAATACACAAACACAGGAATCTTCTCCCTTGAGAGTTGGTATGACCCAATGGTGCTGATTAGGCCAAGTGATCTGCTACAGCTGCTGCAACTCCAAGGCCACTGGCAACTCAAAGAAAACACATTAATCATACAAACCCCTACAGACTAAAACCGATGAGTAACTGAATGTGTGCACTTCATACAGTCACCCAAACAGTCAATCCATAGAAACAAACACCTTTATTCAAATTAAAAGAAACATTAACAGTCATTTACTTGAAGTGTGACAGCAGGGCAGCTGTCACAGGGAACTAAATGCCAATCTAATGCATATTATTGAGCCTTTCATAATAAGAGCCTGATAACTTTGTTGTTTTATTTCATATTTTTTAGCAGCAAACCAGTTTTGTTTCACTTGAAATGTTGTCAAATATAATATTCTATTAATCAACAGAAGCTTAGATTAGAACACTTAACGAAAAAAATAATTGGCCTTTAAAAAAGTGAGGCAGTTGGATGCACAGAGTATGTATGTGCTGGCGCATGGTCAGGATGGTACCACCTCTGCCTCAATTTGAGCCAGGAAAAACCCTGAATACATATAACCTGGTTTACTTTAAACAAAAACCAAACCTCCATCTTGGGAAAAAAAAACTTGTTTACACAAGACCTTGTTTGCAGCAATAAAAGCCAGTATTGTGAAGCACATACATTGGTGTGGAATGCCTATAGGCGAAGGCAAGTCCCCAAATCGTTGGCACCTTTGCTATAAACCATTACTTGGACGTGGAATAACTAGGTGGTGGGCAATAACCACCCATCACACCATCCTTTGCCTATGGTCTTCTACATAGAGCTTGTAAAAGCCGGTGTAAACACAAGTCACACAATGATATGTCAGAGCATTTTTTGTTATGGGCAGTCCATCCATTCTCTTCCACTCATCTGAGGTCGAGTTGTGGGGGTCAGCAACCTGAGAAAAGAGGCCCAGACTTCCCTCTACCCAGCCACTTGGGATAGCTCCTCTAGAGGTATCCCAAAGCATTCCCTTGCCAGCTGAGAAATATTGTCCCTCCACCATGTCCTTGGTCTCTCTTTAGGTTTCCGCATCGGTTTGACAAGCCTGGAAAACTTCACCAGCAAGGCATCCTAACCAGATGTCCGAGCTACTTCAACTGGCTCCTCTCAATGCGGAGAAGCAGCAGATTTACTCTGAGCCACTCCCAGATGACCAAGCTTCTTACATCATCTCCAAGGAAGAGCCCAACAACCCTGCAGAGAAAACAAAGTTTGGCCGCTTGTATCTGCAATTTCATTCTTCTGGTCACTACCCAAAGCTCATGACCATAGGTGAGAGTTGGAACGTAAATCAAGAGCTTCACCGTCCGGGTAGTTAAGTTGCTAACCCTAAAAACCAGGATTTTTTTTTATGTGCACAACAAAAATTCTGACAATGAAGAGCTCACAAATATTCACTTTGATCAGAGTTTTTTTTAAACAATTGTTTCAATTAAATTAAATTCAAGTTTATTTATATAGCGCCAAATCACAACAAGAGTCATCTCAAGGCACTTCATATAGTAAACATTCCAATACAGAACAGTTCATTAAGCCAATCAGTAAAAAGTTTCCGATATATGGAACCCAGCAAATTGCATCAAGTCACTGAGTAGTGTCAGTGACTTTACAACAATCCTCATACTAAGCAAGCATTTTGTGACAGTTGAGAGGAAAACTCCCTTTTAACAGGAAGAAACCTCCAGAGGATCCTGGCTCAGTATAAGCAGCAATCCACCATGACTCACTGGGGATCGAGAAGACAGAGCAGAGACGCAGGCACACACCAACACTACCCCCCCACCCCCCACACACACACCACCCCCAAGTAGTAGAGGGTGGAAGGTGGTCAGTATGCCCTCCAGCAATCTAAGCCTACAGCGGCATAACTACAGAGATAACTCTGGATAATCTATCCTATTTAGATGGAGGCATGTTGGAGGCAGGGCAAGGGAGAGCCGTCTTTACCAACTGTGTTCTCCACCTCCCTCTACTCCCCCCACTTGTCCAGATCTGGGCTAACATCAGATTTTAACCATAGGCCCTATCAAATAAAAATGTTTTAAGCCTAGTCCTAAAAGTAGACAAGGTGTCCACCTCACGGACTAAAGCTGGGAGCTGGTTCCACATGAAATGAGCCTGATAGCTAAAAGATCTGCCTCCCATCCTGTTTTTAGATATTCTGGGAACCACCAGTAAGCCTGCAGTCTGAGAGTGAAGTGCTCGGTTAGGAACATATGGTGCAATCAGGTCACTGATGTATGATGGAACTTGATTTTTAAGAGCTTTACATGTGAGAAGGAGGATATTAAAATCTAATCTAAATTTAACAGGCAGCCAATGTAGGGAAGCTAAGACAGGAGAGATATGATATCTCTTTTTAATTCTCATCAGAACTCTAGCTGCAGCATTTTGGACAAGCTGAAGACGTTTAACTACATTCTGTGGACTTCCTGAGAGTACTCCTGGAAAGTATGCTTCTAATCTTAGCAATATTCCGATGGTGGAAAAAGGAAATCCTACAAACCTGTTTAATGTGGGATTTGAATGAAATGTCCTGGTCAAAGATAACACCAAGGTTCCTTACTTTGTTCTTGGAGATTAATTTAATGCTGTTCAGGTCAGGTGATTGACAAAGAAATTTCCTTTTCTGAATTTCAGGTCCAAAGATGGGAACTTCAGTCTTGTTGTGATTTAAAAGCAGAAAGTTTTGAGTCATCCAATTTTTTATGTCTTCAAGAAAAGCCTGTAATCTAACTAACTGATTAGGTTCATCAGGGTTAATGGATAGATGTAACTATCTGTACTAACTGAGCATCATCAGCATAACAGTGGAAGTTTATCCCATGCTGTCTAATGATTTTATCACTTGGAAGCATATATATATATATATATATATATATATATATATATATATAGTAAAAAGAATTGGTCCAAGTACTGAACTCTGTGGTACTCCACAAGTAACCCTGAAGTATGAAGAAGATTTGTCATGTACGTTTACAAAATGAAATCTATCAAGACAGGTAGGATTTAAACCAGCCTAGCACTGTTCCTTTGATCCCTTAAACATGTCCATGTTTGTGGTGCCATTTATCTTGACAATCGTGTGGATGATAGATTATAGAATACCCAGCTTTGTGTATACATTGCCTAAAGTTTCCTTAGGTGTGAGTGTGTACATGCATGGTCTGTGTCCTATGTGTCCCTTGTCGCGGGTGTATCCTGCCCTTTTGCCCAACGACTGCTGAAGATGGGCGCCGGCACCCAGCGACCTTGCAGGAATAAGAGTATTGATGGATGAAATACAATAGTAGGAAAACTAACACTACTCTCTGCCAGAATGAATTAAATGTTCACTGTGAATTAAAATCAGATGTGGCACCAACCCCTGCAATCTGTGCATGTCAAGCAAACCCAAAAAGATTAGCCATCTTAATTGAGGTCAGTTTTTGTCCACCCTTGTTTTTCAGTTGACAGCCTAGAAAATAAAGAATGATCTGTCTTTTTGAGTCGCAACATAAACAAAGGCACAGTAAAAAAAAAAAAAAGAATGCTGCTTGTAGAAGATGTTTTGTGCATTGCACAAGTGAGGCTTCAGTAGACAGAAAGCAAAAGCAAAGTGGTACAAAGGTGTCAAGAATAGCCATTGACACAACATGAAGCGACACTCTTAACAGCAGCAAATTCTCTTAGATAAACCGAATCTGCAATTTATCTTCCGTGTCTGTTAGATGCATGCCTCCAATCAACCTGCTTCACATTGAAAAAATAACAATAATTGTTTACATTGGGCATCTTCTCCAATCTCAGGTTGTGCTGTTACTCGTGACCCTTGGCGAACCATAGGTCTGCAAGTTGAATGAACAAACGGTGACTGATACCGTGCCCTGAGAGTCTTTGGGTTGCCAGGACAACTTGCTTCCTTGGTAACAATGTCCTAATTTTTGTTAAACCTTCATTAGCATGGCATCCAGGTCTTGTTTACCTTATTAAATACAGGAATGCTTGTTTAAGCACTATGGTACATTTTATTCCCAGAGCAACTTGTTTGTTTGTTGACTGTATTTTAAAGTGATGAAAACATTTTCAACACATGCTTTTGGTTTGTGTCTAAGAAAAACAGTATTGCATGCAAAATAGAATAATTACAATTGAATGCTGTTCATCTATACTTAAAAAAAAGATGTTAATATATTTATATTTTTTTTCAACCTATGCCCTTTGCATTGGTTATATTTTTAATGAAAGATAACTAAAATAAAATAAATAAATTTTATTTATTTAGTTTAGTGTGTTATTATTTTACACAAACACATTTGTATGTGTGTGTGTATATGTGAGTGTAATTATTATTTTTCTTCATAAAGCTACAAAAGTGACTAACCTGTTTGTGAAAATAAATGGTGGCAATACTCTTTAGCTGCTTTATTTATCGAGAAATTCTTCAATTAAATGTGCAAGACATGCTTTAGTGTGCTGTTTCTTCTTCCCCAAGCTGATCTGGGACTTTATTCCTTTGTTAAGGTGATATAAAAATGCTTCATGAGAACATTATTTACTTGTGCAAAACTAAAACACAAATCCTGCAAGGCAAGAAGGTGAATAAAAAAGTGAGAAAACTCAAAGCTTCTTATCATTGCCTCACACATTACCACTACCTCACTGAACAACTTTCAAAAGTTTTTAGATAGATGAGTATTTGATTGCATTGAAGAAAATAAAAAAGCAAAATAAAATGAATAAAAATAAATAAGGATTTAGCCATCTTTGAGCACAACAGTTGTTTTAGTCATAATTTTTTGGGACTCGAAGCCAATTATTACTGATAATGTTTACAGGTGCAATAATTATGCTGGAAGGCAGATTAATTTTTCTTTAGCTCATTTATCTGGAATGACAGGTGTGCTGGATCCTAATTTAGAAATTGAAAAGTTTTTTTTTATTTACATGTCAGAGAGTTGCCTACTACTATTGGATTAATCATGAATCTTGTTTTTCATTCAGATAAATATTAGTCGGAGTCAGAAAATCACAATATCGTCCATCCATCCACTTTCAACGCTTATCCAGCAGCCTAAGCCGAGAGGCCCAGACATCAATCTCCCCAGCTTCTTGGGCCAGCAAAATCTTCCCTGATCCTGAGAAGGCTGTGTGAACCACGGACATCATGGTGTGAACAACTCTATCAGTCAATGGTCAATGTTTAATGGTCAATGCTCTATTGGAGCTGCAGTAGTTCCAGTGGTTGAGTGGGTTGTCCAGTAATCTGAAGGTTGCAGGTTCAATCCTGGCTCTGGACAGAGAATTCTGCTGTTGTGTTCTTGAGCAAGACACTTAACCCATCTCGCCTGCTGGTGGTGGTCTGAGAGACCAGTGGCACCTTGCCTCCTTCAGTGGGCCCCAGGGCAACTGTGGCTACATTGTAGCTCATTGCCATCACAATGTGAATGTGTGTGTGAATGGATGAATGATACACTATAGTGTAAAGTGCTCTGGAGTTCTGAATCTGAAAGGCACTATACAAGTGCGGGTCATTTATCATTATATCTTACAAATGGTCTAGGCCTGCGTGAAAGACGCATTTGTACCAGAGGCCAGGGAGGAACTTAGTGGAACATAGAAATACATTTAAATTACCACTTTATATCATAGGACAGGGTCAGAATATCTTTAGTTACTTTAACATTTTAAACTACTTTCCCCAGCTTTAAGTTTACTCAGCAGAATAACACCTTGTCAAATAGTGACAAAAGGAAGAAAGAATTTCTTTTTCAGTGGTTAAATGCTACATTTATCAAAATAAAGAAAGATGACTTTGAACAGACTAAATTTCCATATGCATCCTAGTCGGTTAGCTAAAATGCTACATACTATAGTCTCTGAGTCAGCCATGGTGGGATGACTGGCTGCCCTTCCTTCTGGCATCATCTCTTCTCACCATTGACATGATAGTTCTACGTGCCTGAGGCTCATCAGAATAAGAACCTGCTGATAAGGTGCCTCGTGATTGCTATCCACCGTAGCAGTACGGGCTGGGAAGTGGATTACAAAGGATGGCTGCTGACACTCTCAAAGCTGAAGCATGTCATTAAACAGTAAATCACTCTGATTGAAAAACACATCAGCTTCCAGCTTTGTGTTTACAAAGCAAGACATTCTCCAACCTGAGACGTGCAGAATTCACCGTGATTTTTTTTGTTTGTTTTTATGCCTTTGTTATGTTTCAGCATATTTAACATTGTTTGATTCAGATTTGTGAAAGCACCAGAAATACAGATGGATGACAAAAG